CATGGCCGCTGAGCCTGCGCGTCTGGAGCCTGTGCTCCGCAATGGGAGAGGCCACAACACTGAGAGGACGGCGTACCGCAAAAAAAAAAAATAAATAAAAAATAAAACTAAAGAAGACAGTCACACAAGAAAACTGATGCTTGTATGTTAGCCCATTTAATTTCTTAATTAACAGCGGCATTATCTGCTTGACGACTTAGGAGGAGTATATAGAATGAAGAAAGCAGAGGATGAAGCTCAAATTCTGGGGAATGTCAACATCAACATTTAGGAGGAGAGAGGAATTAGAAGAACTGGCTAAGAAGAAAAGGGGTCTGAGAGATGGAGGTTAAAAAGGAGAGAGCAATGATCTGACCAATCACTCTGATGCAGACCACAGAGGGGCTTTGATGAAATGTTTGAAATTAGGAGGAAAAAGGTTCCCTTCTGAGAGTTAGACCGTATTCAACACAGAATAGATCACAGTAGAGGCAGCAAAATAAACTAAAGGAGCAGAATGGCTCTTAGTTCTGATAATTCCATCAGGACTGGTGGTACTGTTTTCAAGATAGAGTAAGTGTAACATCAACACCAAGTAAGCATAGCATCAAATGGTTCAGAGAAATCAAGGAAGGGAAGGATGGAGAGTGTTGGTTGGAGTTGGCAATGTGGAGGTCATGCTGGGCTTAGGGAAGGCAGTTCCAATGAAATGATAGAAACAGAAACCAACATACAGTGGGTTGAGGAACATCTAGGAAGCAGTGAAGGGTAGAGACTGAGGGTGGTCTTCTCTTTACTAAGAAAGGAGAGGGAAGTTGATGGCAGGGTTGCAGGGTCTGAAGAAATGTGTTTGTATGTGTTAATGATCGAAGAGCTTCTAGCATGTTTATAAATGGAAGGGAAAGAGATATTGAAAGGCAGGAGTAAAAGGTGGGACTGAGGGAACCAGAACCCTGGAGATTCTGGAGGGAATGGGATCCAGAGAGGTGCTTTGTGATGTTTGGAGCAACGGCACCATCATTAGAATGGGGGCCTTGCTGCCAAAGTGACCAAGTTGAGGTATTTTTGTTAAAAATATCAGTGATATCACTTTATAGTCACATCTTACACTATGATTTTTTTCACCATTCATGGAAACGTGCAATTAGTTTTCTGGGCTTTAAGGATGGATTAATAACTTTTAAATGAGAAAATATTATTTGGCTGTTAAAATGGAATGTTCTTTTGTTTGATGATTAGGGATGGACAAATGATCAGATAAGAGATAAATCAGTATCATTAGTGATTATATTATTGAATTAATTTCAACGTGAAATACAAACAAATTTGACTATTTTATGCCCTCAGATTAACCATTCAAAGAGCAAAGTGTTAATTGGTGATGGTTCCTGAGGTAACATGGTTCCTTCAAAAGTCAAGGATTCTTCCAACACTCACTCATTCAACCAATACTTACGGAGCATCTACTCTGCTCCAGGCACTGTGTGGGGCGGTGAAGACATGGCTACAGATAGCCATCTTCAGTCTTTTTCCTAATGCTACTCACAGCCCAGTAGGGAAGCAAACAGGCCATTGCAGTAGCATGATGAGCTTTAGGATGGGGGATACAGAGGGACTTTATGGGGTTGAGGAAAAGGCACCCAATGGACGCTAGCTATGGAGTAAATGGATCAGGAAAGGCCTCTTCGATGAATTGGTGGGCATGTAAGCAAAGACCTGAAGACTGGTAAGATTTCTGCAGAAGAAGGGAGGCTTGGGTGGTGAGGAGGGGAAGTGAGGACAAGAGGAGGGCTCCTGGTGGTTGCAGGAGAAGGAACACATGAGGCAGGAGACGGGGCTCACGGGAACCCTCTTGTAAAGGGTCTTGTAGAGTCTGGGTGCCTTAGCTATCTGGCAGGAGGCCGGGGGAGGGTGCGAAGCAGGGGGGCAGATGTATTAGATTTACATTTTACAAAGATGACTTACTCTGGTTATAGTGTGGAGACAGATTGAAACCGGGCAAGAGTGGGACAGAAAGAGCAGGGGCAAGATGCTGGAGACAAGAGGGGAAGAAAAACGACCTGGCAGAGAGCGAGGAAGTAGAATCATCGGGCTCCTTGGTGAACTAGTGGAGCCGGGAGGGCTGACACACAGGTTCCTGGCTGACTGGATGATGGTGTCACCCAACAACTGGGGACATAGGAGGAGAAATAATTTTGATTAGGAAGAACCCTTCTCTTCCAATGCCTTTCTGTTTCAGATGGGCAAGCCAAGTTCAGGTGAAGCAGAGATACTTTGGGGGTCCTTTTAGCCCTGTTGTTTGGACTCAGTGGCCTTGGTGTGTGGGCTCTCCTACACCTGCGATTATTGGTCTCAACAAGTTTCAAGCGAAGCAGAAGAAAGATATTCACCTGTGGAACTTCAAACGAGCAAGCAGTTAGCCTCCCCAACTCCGGTGCCCGCAAAGCAAGTAATAATAAACACGGCATCTTTAATGTAGCAGACTTTCCATTCCCACCCTCACCCTGGGCATCTGCACACACAAATCAAAACCCTCTTAAGTCACGGAATGAAAAAGTGAAAAAAATAAAAGCAAACAAAAAGGGCTTCCTGTGGGGTGAATGGAAATTTCTGCCCAGTTTGTTTTCCAGGCGCATGAAGAGTAGTTCTGAATAATCAAAACCACAAGTAATTGTATTCTGAACCGAGATTCTTGAGACAAGGAGGAAAGGGAAGGATCCCTTAGAGGGGTCTTTGACAGAAGGCTCCGTCTACAAGGCTCCGTCTACATAGACACAGGGCCTGCTCTACTTCAACTCAGTTTCAAACAGATCCCTATCAAACAAAAACGCACGTATCCAATTGAACTAAAGCGAGCTCAACCATAACTGTGTAACTTTTCTCCCCCAAGATAGAATCATTGCACCTAAATTTTATTAGGAAGTCTCTTTTGCATTCAGATATTTGGGAACTTCATCTAGGACCTAAGTGCCCTTCTTCCACCAAAATCTGAGGCCAAAACATCATGTCACCGGTAATTTCTGGCCAGATAAATGAAGGCTAGCCTGTGAGTATATTGTGGTAATTAAGAGCATGGAATTCACAGAGTTCCATTGTCTTTGTTTGACCTGGCTCCATCACTTAGCAGCTGTGTGATCCTGAGCTACTATTTAATCTCTCTAAATCTCAGTTTCCTCATCTGGGAAATGGGAATAATGACGAGATTTACTTCAGAGAGTAGTTGTGAGAACTGAATGAGACAATTCATGGGAAGTGCAGTACCTGGCACACAGTACACACTCAATAAATGTTCATTATTAGATTCCCTCCCGCATTTTCCTCTGCATAACTGCAGCCAAGCTCTAGAATTTGTAGCAGCTTTTATCAAATGAAGTAAAATCTCTTTATTCTCAGTTCCAGAGCTAGGCCACAACTAGGTTAGAAGAAGTCAGTTATTCTCTACTGCCTGTCTTTGCTGGGAAAGGACTCCAGTATAATGTCAGTGGGACTCTTGATGCTGTCAGGGCAGAGTAGAAGGGAAAGGAAGGAAATACGGGTAGCAGGTTCCCAGGGGACCTCGTGACCCAGTCTGTACCGCTCAGGTTCTACACTTCAAATGGTTTCTTTCACATCCACTATGGAGGCCCAGGAGCCCTAAAAAAGTTACCTGGGAAACCTCAGCAGCTTGGAAATCACTGCAGGATCAGTCTCCTACCTTACCTTTGGAAGCCCTTGACTCTCCAGTATCTTTAATTGCTTTTTTACGGACCATCCTGGATTCTGCTTCAGAGCCTGGACATTTTGGACTGACATCTTGGTTGCCCTGCCCAGCTGATTCCAGCTTCTCACCTAGCTGTCAGCTCTGCAGGCTGAGAATCTATCCTGCCCTGTTACTCCCCAGAAACCCAACCTGGATCCAGCATTCTGGAAGCCAGTCCAGACCTCTGAGTGGCAGGCTCAGCAGGCCTTGGCATGACTGGTTTCACCTGCTTGGTTAAGAGTGAGGATTCTGGAGCACACACTCCAAATCCAAGCACTGCCACCTACTAACTAAGTGACTCGGGCCAGGTAATTTACCACTCTGTGCCTCAGTTTTCCTCATCTGTACAATGGGGAGACTAGCAGTCCCCATCTCATAGGATGGTTAAGAGGATTAAATGAATTAATACATGTATAAGACATCATATAAACATATACAAATAATCCACCTACATAAATGTGAAACAATATAAATATAATATTAGCTATATTCACATATTTTATACATATTAAATATATATTATTTTACATTTAACTTTATGTATGCTTTACATTAACATGTATTATTTCATGTAAAACATTTATATACATATAAACATAATTATTTATATTATTATTACTGTTGTTTTTATCTACTCTATCTCCCTGCATGGATAGAGAGACCATGGGTAGGCTCTTCAGCTTTCTTGCTTTCATCTGAGGCTATAGGTGTAGAATCCCTGATTTCTACAGACTCTGCTGTACTATGTAAGGCAAGGTTTAAGTTAGATTAAAACCAAGTCTAACACTTGGAAAATTACCATCTACAGTGAATGCCATGTAAATATTCTTTCCTAGATTCCTATGTTGCTCTTCTTTCAGTATCATCATTTTAAGTTCTGTTGCAATTGCTTTTATTTCTTGTCTTATTTCAAAGGCTTTCTCTCTCTGGAGCACATAGCATAAGATAGAAATGTGTCAAAATACATGCTATTTATCATGTGGTTAATTTTAGATCATGTTATGCCCAAAACTATAGATTCAGAGGAATAGGGTGGTTCTGAAAAGAATAGGCATTGTCTCTTTCACTTCTTTTCATGGAACTGAAATGAGGGTAAAGTTTTCCTCTGTCTTCAAAATCATTAATAATCCATGGATTAAGCTTAACCTCCATGAGCAATAATGCCATATAGCCACTGACATCAATTAAGAGACACCACCCTGCCTTGATGGTAAGTGTGACACTTCATTAACCCCAAAAAAACCCACTTCCTTTCCAGCAAACAGAAAACAGCGGAGGACATGAATTCACTGGCAGCTTTAAGCACTGAAGGAGAAAATTGTGTTTGTTTCTGGCAAACATGAAGTCAGATCTCTGGTATTTCTTTCTCTTCTGCTTCCAGGTTGAAGTTCTAACGGGTAAGTGACCTACTGAGTATTTATTATTAAGTTATAATTCAAGTGAACATTAAGAAAAACCAATTGGAAAAGTTAGGCACCAAATAGAAAGGTTTTTTTTGTTTGTTTGTTTTCAGAAAGTAAGAACGATTACAGAAGAGCCCAAGTCCATGGCCAAGGATGTTTATGTCACTGTTTTAAGATGAAGAAAAATGTCTCATTGGATCATTAAAACTTTAAATTACCTGCTTGAAGTTACTTTTTAGTGGATAAAGTAGAAGAGTGGCTTACTGTTCTCAGAGAGAGATGAAAGGCAAAATGACTTGTGTCAACAGAATGAAAATTAAGTAGTCCTGGCATTTGGGCTGGGGATTCCTTCTGAAGGAGAAAATAAGATGGAAGGGCTTTGAAAAGAAGGATTTTGATTTTAATCTTACCTGGGTGGTCTTTTGTCAGAAACGCCCTGGCTGCCACAGAGTTTTTTCGACACTAATGTCAAGGTCCTTCTAAAAGGCTACGGAGTAGTGGATGATGTAAGAACACTCTCTAGCCTCTGTAGACATTAAAAAAATCATTCTGAAGTCCTCAATTCTTTCTCTTACGTGGTATATATCACACTCTACTTGAATACTTTAAATAATGTTACCTACAATGAAATTAATATGTATTTCTGCTGCTTCTTACTTGGTACATTTTCTATTATTTTTGCTTCTTCTTTAAGTCTGAGCCTCATGTTCTTGAGGCTGAGAAAAAGCAAAGTGAAATTATATTACATTGGGAAGTTCTACTAACACTAAAAGTGCAGAGAGAACTTTTAGTAGGTGTAACTTTATTTAGAAATAAGTTTTGCAGTGGTACCAAAAATAGACTTTATTTTTCTCTCCAAAGAATTAAAAAACAAAAATGTATTGGTCAAATATTTGATCTTGTGGTGGCTCCAATGCTCTTAAATAAAGAGGAAAGAGGAATGAGGAATTAGAATCTACTTAAGGTCCCAAGGGCAGTTTGGGGCCACTTGCTTGTTAAACTACGGCTTTTATACAACCCAATGAAATCCTTTAGCTGCATGAGCAACAAAGGAATAGCTTTGGAATTGATAACCATTCATTCGTTCACTCGTCCATTCTTTCAGCACCAAGCACTTGCCATGCAGGAGGTACTGTGCCAGCTGCTGTGTATACAATGATAAGCAAAACCAGGTCAGCCCCTGCTCTCATGAAGCTAATTGAATGGCGGGGAGAGAGACATTAATCAAATAATCCCATGAATGAATGACAATTACAGGCAGAACTCAGTTCTGTCAGAGGATGTAACAAAGAAACCTGCATAGACTGGTGGGTGTGGAGGTGTGGTTGGGGGATGGGTTCATCCAAGTCTTTCTTGTGGAAGTGGCACTTGAGCTAAGCCTTGGGGGACAAATAGGAATAAATGGGGAGAATGGTGAGATGGTGGGTAAGAACATTCCATATCATGAAAAGAGTAAGTGCAAAGGACCTGTGGCAGGAAGGCATGAAGTAAGTCAGGAAGCTGGAAGAAAGTGGACGTGCCTGAGTACAGAGAGGAAAGGGGTTGGGGATGGTGTAAGATAAGGCAGGAAAGGAAAGCAGAGACCAGACCATTCAGACCATATGCACCATGTGAAGGATTGTGGATTTTCTTCCAAGAACATTCGTTGAAGTCATTGAAGGGTTTGTACTGCTAAAAAGCATCCAATATGCCAAACCCATTTAGGCACTTATGGTGGTGATATTATGCTCAGGAGATTTGAATTAGCAATGGTGTTACCACTGTGGAAGGACTGATCCAGCCTAGGTGGAATTATTTCTAGTTGGCAGATAAAGCTGATGAATAAATTGTACTTCTGGAATGATATTTATCTTGGATTCTAATGGAATAAAACCAACATTCCCCCTCATCAACAGAAAACCATGCCATGGGCAAGCTGTTATCCTATTTGACAGGTGGCAAAACTGGCACACAAATGGCTAGATGGAGATAGTGAACTGCTGAACGATCTTCATATTCAAAATATCACCATAATGCATGTATCCAGCAACTACCATTTGAAAGGCTCTAAATGCAAAGTAAAGAACCAAACTGAAGTCAACTAAGCTCTTGCAGATCCTTTCTTTGGCATATTTTTAATCCTCCCAACTATGTAGGCTTTCTCATTCCATGAAGAGGTAGGCATTCTTACTTTCAGTTAATGTTTGAAGAATCTCAGACCAGGAAAGGCTAAGTGTTTGGTTACCTAGTAATCAGTGGCAGAACCAAGATTAGAATTCAAATATGTCTGATTCCAATAATCACATTCTTTCCACACCATGTTGAAGTAGTGGAGATATAACATGAATCTCAAAGGAGAGAAATTCTCATCAGTTTTGTTATTTGGTTGGTGAGTTAAGAGGAAGGAAATCTTGGTGATTCTCAGTCTTCTATTGATCTCAGTGTAAAACTTAACAAAGTCATCTTCTTTTAATGATTCTGGAACAATAGGAGGCTCTTAATTGTAAAAGGATCTGAGAAAAATGAGACACTCTGTCTGCATTTAGAAGACACTCTTTCTAGACATTATGGGCAGTGGAGACCACGTGGGTGACCTGATGAATTCTGGTTTGGGAAAGACCACTTTAAAAGCAGTGGAGTGGGAATGACCAAGGTTGGGTGGTGTTTAATATATGTGCATGTCTAATGATATGTTCAGGGTGGAAGCTGGAAGGGTAACCCTCAGGCTCATTCTGAGCCTTGATTTTGTTACCCAGACATTGAAACAGTGATTCCTGAACTCCATCACCTCCAAAAAACTCAGCCCTTTGGCGCTTCCAGCACCTGCCCCTCCCCAGAGCTCAGGGAGAGTCCTGCGGAGCTGAGTTGACATTTAAGCCCCTCCCAGCACCTCCTTCCGGTGTTCATGCTGAATTTTAAAAATCCACATTGTCCATCTTTTCTTTCAATAGATGAATTCAGGACATTCTCACTCAGCACAAGAAGTCTATATTGATTTCACTCCTTCAATATTATGTTTATTTCTATTTTCCTTGGTTGTGGTATTCTCTTTTATTTTTGTCGGTATGAGGAAGTTTCTTTTAACTCTCCTCTTTCCCTCTGTAATTTGGAAGGTTGACCACACGTCCTAGCTGACGAATTCATTATCATGTTCAGAGCAGCTTAATTGAACATCTATTTATTATTGTAGTAAAGTAAATAATGACAGTAGCCTTGCTTGGCGTGTTTACCCCACCTCCCATCCCCCGCAGTGACGTGAGAACTTTGGAATGTTCTCTTTTCACTCTCTTGCTTTCTCCTTAGTGAACCCCTGCCCCATACATGGGTTTTGTTGAAATAACTGAAAACTTGTAGTTGCAGCTCATTGCTAAGTTTCCTCTGACAGTGTTTCTCTTCTGGTTCAAGAACTCTTTACACTCACTTCACCTTTTTTCAGCTGCAGCATCACTCTTGCCATCTGCTCCTGTCTTGTCATCCTTGTTCCGATCCAATGATCAGAAGACTTCCATTATTTTCTTCAGATACCTCAAACTCTGAATTCCAGCATGGGTAAAGATGTCTTCCTTTACCCTGTTGGGTGACTAATATCTTTTCTGGGAGTAGTATTCCTGGACTGCACTCTTTTAATAGTCTCTGGGTATTCATTCACTGTATGCTGGCTTCTAGGGTTGCACGTGAGTAGTTCCATGTTGGTCTGCCTCTCATTACTTTGCAAGTAGATTACAAAGTATCACTAGAATCTTGTTATTCATTTCAACAAGGGAATTCGGGAATTCCCCTAGGATATGCCTAATTCTGTGAGTGTTTCCATTAACATTGCTTGAGATTGAGTTAGCCTTTTCAATCTGCAGACTTCAGGTGTTTGGGTTTTTTTAAATTTCGGGGATATTTTCTCCCAGTAATTGTTTAGTCATATCTTTTTCTTTGTCTTTTTTCCTTCTTTTTAGACATGCCTATTATTTTTATGTAAGATCTCGAGATCCTTGTTTTTTCATCATTAGTGGGCAAAATGAATTTCATAACTTGCCATGGCTGTTAACAACTCCCTCAGATGAAATGGAATATTATAGTTTTTAAATTGCTAGCAGCATATTCCCATTCTTGGTAGAAACAAAATGTAGGTGTGTAGGGAGGACCTCAATTCTCATCTGAGCTTTGCTCACTGTGTATCCATAGACTTGTTTGACGTAAAAAAAAATTGGCCTCAGCATTCACAGTTGTAAACCGAGCAAAACCCACAGCTTATGCTGTCTCCCTATCCTAAGAATATAAGTTTTATACATAAAAGGATGTACTGGGCTTTGCAAATTCAAAGCCCAGTATATACATACACATACATATACATATATAAATATATATGTATACACACACACACACACACACACACACACACATATATATATACAAATCATTTGTAGCCTTCAATACCCAAAGAAAAGACCCCGTTTACTCCATAAATGGCATGTCTGTGCTACTGCTCTTCTAATAAATTGAGTCTATTAAATGACACGTTTTTGTCATTCTAAGTAAAATAAGAATGTGGCATTCAATACCTTTTCAGGAAAATTCAGATTTATACTTTGGAAAGTGGAACTTAAGTATGTAGAAAACATGTAACACAAATGAAAGCTGTTGGTCAACAAGAAATTTTTTTCCAGTTTGGCCTGTATGGTCGATTGAAACAGACTGAGATTTGCAAGTTAAAGGAGAGAGTCAGAAGTTGGGCTATGAACCTCCTCTGGCTCTCGTATAACATACTGATGGCTGCATCTACTTTGCATGAGGAAAAGCTAAGAAGAAGCAGTTTGTCTTTAAAGGAAGGTGATGGACTCAAGAATTTTGAGTCAGTCAACCACTAGTTCTGAAAGTCTTTTGTTTTTCTGAGTGTGTTGCCATAGACGTGGCACTTCCAACAGGCAACAAAGAGTCACTTAAGTGAAACCTTTTTGAATATGAGAAATCAAACTTTTTTTTTAATTAAGGGTACTTTAATTTATTTATTTATTTATTTATTT